TTGGAAGAAGTCACTTAAAGGAGAAGTGATAGAGATCCATAAAATAAAGACTGTAATTGATGGAGTGGATAGGAATCAATTGTTCATTGCCCCTCAAATGGTAAGAGCCAGAAGGTATGGAATGAAGCCAGTCAGTGGCATGTTAATAATCAACAAAAGGAGACAGTTCTTCACCTGACAAGTTGTAGAAGTCCTTGTTACTGGATGATCTACATGTTAAAATTGTCAATGAGTGAAAAGGGAGCCTGGACAAATTCATGTATAAGAAATCCACTGTTGGTAACTAAGGGTGCAGAATTCATATTCAGCCTAGAAATAAAAAATAAAGTCCTGGAGAAATACCAGCTGTTCATACTATGAGCCTGCTTTCAGGTACAAGATACAAGACTAGATGTGGCATTGGTTTGACCTACAAAGGCTGCTTTTATCTTAATATACTTTATATATTTATTCTGACTCAAGTCTTTTAATGAATTTTTTATGCTGACAATCCCTTACTCATGGGCACGCTCTCAGGCACATGGTGGGATTCTGGGGATTGTCCTGTGCAGGGCCAGGAGCAGGACTTGATGATCCTTGGGGGTCCCTTCCAACTCAGGAAGGGATTATATGCACTGTGATTATGTGCACTGGTTTGTTGGGCTGTTTTTTTCACAGGGGGTGAGATCAAAGGAAACATCTCCTGATGTTTGAGGTTTTTGAAATACTATTTTAAATGTATCATTTTGCTTGTTTAATAGTGTAGATGACAGCTTAGGACTTACTGTCTGCGTGATAGTTACTGTACACATGACCTGGTCTAGTTAGTCCTGTTGGAACAACGTCCTAGAACAATAATACAGAAATTCAGAGGGCAGTAGCATATGTGGATCTCAAAATAGTTGAGGTAAGGAAATTTTTAATTCGTCTGATTAAATAATTCTTTTTCTAGAATCATAATGCTACTATTCAAACCCATTTTAACTTGGATTTTAGTATCTTTTTGTTCCACTTTTCATTACCATCATATAATTAATAGGATTTTAAATCCACCCTGCAATAAGCCACAATACTGGAAATAGGGAGGTTTCTGAATTCTCTTTTCAGCTTTGTGACATATTCACATGACTTTGAACAAACCATATAAATATCTGTGCTGTCTCTAAATTGAAGATAACAGCAGCCTTATAGGAATGTTTTTAAAGTAAACTATGTGAAAACTCTATGAAGACCTAAATTATGATTTACTAGTGTTTTTGAAATACTGCTTTAGGGATGGAAAAGCATGCTAATGAGCCTTGGGTGAGTAGAACTAGTTATGTTTTGTGGTTGGCTCAAAGTGATCTGTCATATGAATCAGAATACATGGGATGCAAGAGGAGTCTACGTGCAGATGGGTTTATTCTGTGTATTTCTCGTGGTTCTTCACGAGGAGCAAATACCTGCTTTCACCTTGTTCAGTGAGAAAGCCTGTCCTAGGACTCCTGCACAACTTCACAGGGACAACATTGTTTATTTTATCTGCATAACAGTTGCACTCTTAAGCCCCCAAGGAGCATCTGGCCCCCTCTGACCTACCTACCTGCCAGGTGATGCTGTGGTGTAGTCTGGGGTACAATCCCCCTAAATGTGGCCGTGAGAATGCTCTGAGTTACTTCTCTGCAAGAACTGCAGTGCATCCAGAAGGAAGGTGTTGCATGCCTAGGTGTTGCTCAGACATACATCTGAGATGTTGCCAAATTGTGCAGTGAGATCTGGGATCTGAGAAGCTCTGTGTTTTAACAGGTCAGGCGTACACTGCAGAGATATAAATAACATTTATACAGATGATTCAAACAGTCCTTGCCCTAAAGAGCTTCTGAGTGTCTAAAGTTGAATGGAAACAAGGCATTGCTCTGAGATAGGCAAAAGTTATTTCCTTTTATTACATAGTTCTCACAGATTTTTTTCCTTAGAGGTATTTTCTTAGAGAAGCCTAAACTCTAAGAACTTGGGTAGTAAAATGTGGTTTTTTTCAGTTTCTAGTAATGAAGTCACACATATTTACAGCATTATCATCTAAGAATCCCAAGTAGCAATTACTAATTACGAAGAGGGGAAGATACTCCTCATTGTACTGAGGAAATGAAACCATGATGAATTAAAGAGACTTTCTCTGAATCAGGAGAAACTAATGTGGAGCTAGAAATTGAGCCCAGACCTCCTGACATTCGGTTCACTGTTTCAGTCGTATGACCATCCTTTTCCAAGTATCAAATATGTACACAAGGCTCTTCAGTTTAGTCTTCATATTAGCTTCCAATGAAACTTTGCCCTTTCACTCATTTTAGCAAAAAGTCAAACATTTGCCCATTTGTCTCAATAGTAAGTAGAAACTGCTCTCTATACAGACGATTTCCTCTCCATTCACATGCTTCTCATCCCCGTATTAGAAGGCCAGCCTGTGTCAGCAAGGGCCTGTTTAAATTAGAAACCAAATAATATTTCAGGGATGCCTTGGGCTGTCTTGTGGAGAGGGTTCTTCGCAACCCTTGCCAGTTACTACTTGGTGGTCCTGCCAATCCTCGCTCAGTTTCAAAACAGAAGTTGCTCAAGCTGGAGCAGCGCTGCGAGCCGGGCGTACGCAGCTGGACAGCTGGTGAGCCAGGACGGAGCGAGGCCCGGCTGAACCAGGCACAATTCACCAGTGCAGGGACAGGGGAGTGGCACTGTCCTAATTGTTAACATTCCTCCTCTGCAAGACTTCTGATATTTATTTAATAAGCCCAGGCTCATAAAGTCTAAACAATTTAAGCAATCAAGTGGTAGCTGATGCGTATGTGGAGATAGAGATGCAGCCAGACTAAGTGAAGGGTGAAATGCTTGATTTCTGACTTTGCAAAGCTTTATCTGGCAGTTGCAGATGAAGTAATACCTCAGGCAGCTGTGCCTACGAGTGGAGTATATATTGTGAGTAACCCAGGAGCTGTACTTCAGGCCAGGTTTGCACAGCCACAGCTCCTGTTTAAGTGTCCATGACCTGTCAGCTGGCATGGTCTTCTCGGCCAGTGAGAAATACTGAACTCCTGATATCCTGATATCTCTTGCCAGTGGCAACAAAAATTAGGGATGTGGTATTGCTGTGTTCTCAGAGGGAGGAACGGCAGGTTCAGCAGAACTGGCTGAAACATGCAGCCATTCCCACAGCCCAGCAACATGTTTGTAAATAGGCATGCCTTCACATGTATAGAGTGAGCACCTAGAGACTGCTGTGTGTGGAGACTTGGTCTTTTCTGTGGAGCTGTAGTTGAGTATTTTAGCATTAAATGGGAAAAAAGCATCATTACATTCATTAGCATTTCACTCAGAATCATTTCAAACTTAGAGTGGAGCAGAGACATGGTGATTGGATGTTACACTTTCATCCATGGGATAAAGAGGTCTGAGGTTCAAATTGGAAATGAGACTTCTTGGAGTGGATGTGGGACAAGGGAGGAAAACTGAATTTTGATGAACCTGGGAGATGGCTTTTTTTAAAAAAAAAGCGCATCAAAATGCATGATGTTTCTATACTTTCTCAAGAAAAATTTTATCTCCAGAAAGGAAAACATTATCTCTACTTCAGCTCATCTTTAAAATACACAAAGGAAAGGCGGCACAGAAAAGGAGAGTAATTTTAGTGATTGCACTTTCAATGTTCCCTCATTAATGGTCTTTTTCTAGTAAGAAGTCATTTACCATGTTGGATTCAAAGAGATCCACTTTGCATGGTTTTAGAGCAACTTTGTTAATGTTCTTTTGATACTTTCTGCTTATCAGCCCAAGGCTTATTGGCCATTGTGAGCTGAATAAATTGGTTGTTATTGCACTTGCAAACAGTTCAGGCTGATTACATTCATCTAAGCACCAATTTTACAGCTTTGTCTGTGGTGCCATTACAGACCTTGAGCGAGCGAACAGGCAGGCACCCTGCACATACCTCTCTCTCAGCATGGTGATTTACTGCCTCTGTCTGCTGCCTTTTACAGCTGTGTGCTGGCTAATGTCCCTGTCTTGCTGCTTAGCTTGATTCAGTCCTGTAATGCTACATCCTTAGTGTGGAATCTGAATCTGACTTTGCCAACAGGCTGGAAAACCGCTTTTCTAAAGTTCTTTTCCCATCTTCCCTGTGGTCACCTTGTGCTTAGAAAAACAAACAGGTCAGGTTCATAATGGGTGGACAGGGATACTTGCCTTTTGACCCACTTCTTTTTGACTAGTCTGTGTTCTTTGACCATTCTCCAAGGGTTCTCTTGTGTTTTGTTTTGACTTGGCCTGATAGCTGAAAGCTTTACTGTAAATTATTATTTTTGACAGTTATGACAATGATATTCCACTCTCCCATAGTATCCTCTGACCTGCAAGTATCAGAATGCACAAAGATATGCCCAAAATGTCACAAAAGAATGCACATCACATATAGCTCTGAGTTAGTTCAGATAAACAATGTAAGCAGAGTACAGTATCTCAAGGAGAAATGACAAGCACCACTGATTAGAATATTTACAGGGAGAAAAGGTTTCTGAGTATTTCTGATTGTGGAGTCAGTGCATTAAAATAGTATAGAGTAACAACTTGGCATTTTTCTGTAAGCTACTGAGTTGCATATGTAGGTGGATTAAACTAAATAACAAAATACTGGCTATTGAGATGGAAGGGTTTGAAGTAAACAAAGAAGGTGGGAGGAAGACAGCTACAAGAGTTAAGTATCTAAAGAAGGATACTCTTAAAAGCATCTGGCTATGGTGGGTCTTGTGGAGACTGAATAGTTGATTCTCTTTTGCTACAGAATAAAAGGGAAAAGGGGCCATGTGGCATCCTGGTTGATACCAGCTTATACCACTTGATGTGTGAGAGACAGTGGTTTCAGAATTCTGTCCTTCTTTCCTTTGTTTTCTCACTAGTTCATATGATGTAAATAGAATAAAAGTACCATCCTTAACCCTGGCTGATATAATATTTTTATATAAATATAAATAAAATATTTGTTAATATTTTTTCAGGTGGAACTTGCAGAAATTTGCACAAAGAGCGAACGTTACATTGGCACAGAAGGTGGAGGGATGGACCAGTCAATCTCTTTTCTGGCAGAAGAAGGAACTGTATGTGGATATTTGTAATCTAAACTAACATTGTAATAGTGGTTTATGGAAACAAAAAATACCTTCACAGGTGTCTAGCAGAAAGATAAGACGAGAAACTGGCATACCTCAGTAAGCAGTATAAGCACCACTGGTGTCCAAATGAAATGGGAATTAAATGTATAAACTTGTGTACAATTGAGTATGACAAGTTTGAATAAGATGGGGAAAATGAGAAATGGCAAGGAGGAAGGAAAAGATGTAGGAAAAGATGTACTCTAGAAGAGCACCAGGTTCCACATTATTTGGCTAATTCATCACTGAACTCAGAATGTTTCCCATATAATGAAGTCTGAATGGTCGGCATGCCTTGTATTCAGTGAAAATGGGATAATTATTACAAAAATGCTTTCTTGAAAATTCTCATAACCAAACAGTTCTAGGATGTTTTGCCAGGTTCAGTTGCAAAGACAATGGAGACTTTTTTTCACTAGTTTTGCTAATTCCAGACAATTCTGTGGCTGGATTCTGAGGTAGAAGGCATTTAGCTGTTTTAAACGTGGTGACAGAAGGTGGACTAGCTATGATAAACAGGACCTGCCAAGTTATGCCTGAGTGCTTGCAGTGGAATCTGCAGTGGAGTTCATCCCTGTCCCAGAAAATGCACAGGACTGTGACTGTTTCAACCTCAAACCTGTCAAAGCACTTTTATTGAAATTGATGGAGCCTTTCACAAAAACTTTTACTTTCCTTATGATTGTGGTATTATTTCTCTACAGCTTTTGTTCCTTAGTGCCATATCTTGGATGAGCTTACACAGAACAAAACTAATTCCTAGAATTACACCAAACATTTAATGCCATCATGAGACACATGTATTTTCAGTGTCACATCACCTGCACTTGCTCTGTACCTTCCCTACATTTTTATACTGTTTGCAGTAAAAACACAGCTACATGAATGATGATATATTGTTGGCATGCACACAGATGATCATGTAAGTGGAAGCTTTTCTAATATACAGAAGTGGTGATCAAAAAGACAAAGAAAATGTTAGAAAAGATTAGAAAAGAAATTGTGAACAAACCAGAAAATATCCTTGTTTCAGTTTACTTGCAGCTGAATGCAGTTCTGGCCTCCCATCTTAAAAAAATATACTAGAATGAGAAAAGTACAGGAAAGGACACTGAGGTTGATCAAAGCTATTATTTTATATGAGCACTGACTGAATAATTTAAAGCTTTTCAGCTTGGAAAACAAGAAGCTTAGAGGGGTGATACTTTGAAGCTTTGTAAAACTCCTAAATGAGTAAAGAGAAGGTAAATGGAGAATTCAATGCAATGCTTTTCATAACTGAAGAACTAATAGAAACACAATGACATTAGCAAGCAGCTTGTTAAAAACAAACAAGGAAGTTTGGGGTTTTTTTTCCAAAACATTCATTGTTAAATTGAGAAATACCGTACATTGTGGAAGGCAGAAGTTTTAAAAGGGTTCAAAAAAGACCTTCTTGGATACACTATTAGAGTATTAGCCTATTTGTAGCTATTAAACATAATAGTTGGATGTTTCTTCCAGTGTAAGAATAACCACTGTAATCTTTGCTTATGGGAAGCTAGAAAAATATACCCCCAAAAAAGATTGTTTTGTGTATATCCTATTTTTAATTCCCCCTAAATAGCCATTTATGGCTACTGTTGGAATCAGGACACTAGACCAGCTTAGGGGTACATTCTGATCTAATGCAGCAGTTCTTAAAGGGTATATTTAAATGTAAGCAAGTCTGTCTGTCTTGATAGTGACTCTGTGGTGTGGTCCAAAATCTCAATGGCAGGGAGTAACACACATGCTGTACATAATGTACAAGCAGATTTGTCGTTGTTTATTTAGCACTCGAGCTGCTCAAGGAACTCTCTGGGGGTGAACAATGCCAAAGCCAGTAAGACGTCCCTGCTTGCAGAGTTACAGTCTATTCTAAGAAGCCAAAGCAGGGCACATGATTTACAACTTATCCCAATGAAAAACCAGATGTGAATTTAATCTCTTGATTACATTACATCCTGAATTATTTAATTAATGGATGCCTAGCTTGTTCCATGAAAAGGTCACAAATGTTGGGAACATCTGACGCAGCCTATGTAAGCATCTGTGAGGCAAGGCAGTCTCTTATGTCAGAAAGGAGACAGTAACTACATTTTTATACGTAGTTTTAACTTCTCTGATTGTCCATATGTGCCATGATCAGTGTCTCCAGTGAGTCCTAAAATGTTGGTACTATCCTGTACCTCAGTGAACTAATCTTGATGTAGTGGAAAATCAGAAGACTGAGGGGGAGATGGACATTGATGAAGGGGCAGGGAATGCAAAGCCCCTTGTTTTAGTAGCAGGCACATTAGCTTCAGCCAGGCCTGCTACTTTTCTGTAGATCAAAGAAAAACTGTTGTCTTAAACAGGCAAGAAAAATAGGTTGGGTGGGGTTCTGTGAAATGCTGAAAAAACCCAAAGACTTAATGGAAACATTTTAAAATCCAGCTACAGGGAAAGGTTTGAAATGTATGTGTAACTTGACCAATGAGGTTAAACCTCTTTTCTCACTGTTTCATGTCAGCTTTCTTTCCTTAACTGTCTCTGGATTTTCAAGAGAAAAAACATGCAAATTTGCATTTGATTTATAGAACTAAGTGCTCTGTTAGCTAGTAGTAAATTAAAACTAACCATTCATTTTTCTTTCAATAGGCCAAGTTGATAGAGTTCAATCCACTGAGGGCAACTGATGTTAGACTTCCAAGTGGAGCAGCGTTTGTTATTGCAAACAGTTGTGTTGAAATGAATAAAGCAGCAACTTCTCATTACAATATTAGGGTAATGGAGTGTCGGCTGGCTACAAAGGTAAGGCATGGCTTATGTCAAACTCTAATGAAACCTTCATCTAAATATGTGCTTTTTTCCACTGCTGACCAGTTGTGTCTTTAACACCTGGTTAGGTGCTACTTTAAGTATAATTTTTCTTTCCAGAACCAGACACCTCCATCTGCAGGAGCAGAACTCCTGCTGAGCTTAATGGAAGTCCAAGGATTGTGTCCTTATATAGAAGATTATGTGATTTAGTTCTATTAAATTTATTTTGTATTATATTTCAGTGGAGGAAATAAGTCTATTTTTCAGAAAAAAATATTCTCACTTAATAAGATAGACTGTTTCTAATTAAAGTTGCATAATGACAAATAATGGAAAGCAATCAGTATGGTCACATGTTTATATGTATATATGGCAACAACAGTGTATTTTCTAGGATTTAGAGAACATCAAAGCTACTAGTTGGAGGCCTGGAAGTAATATTGGAAATGCTGAATAGCAGCATGTATGTCAGTGTAAAGTTAAAAAAGAGGCTTGAATCAAACCCCAACATTTACATTGTACTGCCAGTTTACAGCTTGACATTATCTCTAAAATGTATGGAAATTGTATAGAAAAAATCTAAATTCTGCTTCAATTCTGGATTTTGTACGTTCAGGAGTATGTAGATGTAGGGCATAATTTGAGTTTTTTATGGGAAGACTGCATTTTTCTTTGATTAGAGTAAATGAGGAGTAAGCATAAAGATTCACTGGAGTTATACCCAGCATAGAGTGCTGTGTGAAAGAACAGAATTTGGGTGACAAACTCTAGAAGAAAGTTTTGAAAACCAGCATGGAATTCCTTGCCACAAAACATTTGGCCAATATCTGATGAATATTCAGAAGTACTTTGAACATCTGTTGGCATCATGATTCTATAAAACAGTAATTTCTTTTATGTTTTAGTTAGTGCTAAAAAAACAGTAGAAGACATGATCAAATACTGACAAAATGTATTATAAAATAATGTGTTGAGATATTTTTCGAGGAGGGAAGCTAAACCTCAGATGACTTTTTCAATGGGCTATAAACTCAAGTATAAAAAAAATAGCTGCATTTCAGTTGTATATAAGATGAGGTAAAACTAATAGCACCAATGACCATAGTTAAAGCTGTTGTCACTGAAGCTAATAAAAAGATTCTTATGCCACTGAGAAAACAAATATAAGGACCTGCCTATATGATAATTCTGGTATAACTGATAGACTTCTAATTTAGGATAGCTACTTCACTAAATATGTGTTTTTTAGGAAGAGCTTCTTTTGGAAATTTGGTTTTTTGCATAAGAATAGAGAGCCTTCACAGATGATCTATTCTAAAAGGCAAAGTGCAACAATGAGTGCATTAAGCTGTAAGAGCTTTTGAAGTATTGTTCCATATACCAGATTTTGTGACCTGAATCACAGCTTTCTAAAGTGCTTTAAATTATTAGTCCTGTGCAGTAAACTAAAAAGGTAGTAAGGAAAGATCTTTTTTTTTAACATTCCTGTCAGCTATGATGCAATCTCTAAAAAGGTACTTTTAGCAGATGCTTGATTGTAAGGAGACTAACAACATACACCTGTCTGTTTTTAAACATATGCTACCCAGATGGAAAGTTGAACACACTATAAAAACACGTTGAGCCAGGAAAAGAGTGTCTTTAGGAAGAGGTCACAGTGGGGTGAAGGAGGGCAGGTATGTAAGTGGAAACAGGGAAGTCTTTTAAGCACCATTAAGCTAATGGAACTATGAAATAACATGCTGGGCCTTAGAATAATGCTTTAAAAGAAATTCTCATTGTAAGTGCCTTAGGATAGGCTTTTTCCCCCCCTTTCTGCTTTAGGTAATTCTAGAATTTCATACTGCTTGCAGAAAGCTCTATGTAAGTAAAGATGCCAACACAATATATTCCTTTTGGCAGTAATGTAAAACATTTTGATATCAGTCTGTCCTACACCAAGTGAACTCTTGATCATCCTCCCAAAATTATCTTTCTTAGATTCTGTTCCTTTTCCTTCCCTTCTGGAGAGTCATTCTTGTTCTCAGTTCTTTTTTCATCCCTTTCTCTATTCTTGTAGCAGCCTCTTGAGTGCTTTCTTGCACTCGGTGTGTTTAAAGACACTTACATTCTGCAGAGCACTCACAATTCCAAAGAAAATTACCTTGTACCTCATCCTTGCGAAGCCTCACCCGGTGGGTGCTGCAGGAGCGCTGGGGAGCTCTGCCCCGCTCGCTGTGTGTGGTTCCCTCCGCTGTCAGCTGGAGCCTGTGCCAAGAATGTCTGCAACTGGAATGCCATAGAGTTCACCAACTAGTGTTTGTTAAATGTGGAAAGATGCTCAGATGGCATTGTAGAAATGTAATGTGTAAGAAAGTGATGTGGCTACAGAAGTATTTCTGGACTTATTCCTAGTCAGACTTTCTTTTATTTATATTTGTCCCATCGTTTACCAAGTATGTTTTCCTCTCAGTTACTTACAGTGCTCCAGTGTGCCTGTTGAACAATAAAGGACAATAAAGCCCACAGATGCTATATCCTGGCAGTTAAGAGCCAGCTGCATGATGTCCACATATTTAATCCATCTAGTCAGAGATCATGAAGAAAATATCCAACTGTGGAAGCAGTATTGGGATTACTTTTGTACATTAAAGAGATGGGATTCTTTTTCCCCTTTTCTGTTCTGTGTCCATTACAATGTGAGCTGCTGCAGCTAGACTGTTTTCAAAAACCATTTCTGTTTGCCCATAACATTTTTCCCAGTGCTGTTAGAATAGAAGCTTTGCTGGAATCAGGACAGACCTTTGCAGCAAAGCTGTGCCCAATGGCCCAACAAGGTCGGTTTCCATTTGGAACATTTGACCTGTAAAACCCCAGCCTAGTTGGCTCACCTGAAATACAGCATCTCCCTTGAAGTACAGAAATGGGAACAGATGTGACAATGCATGTGGTATATTTCTGCAGGGGATTATTTATTCAAAAAGGAAGTAGGAGAATTTTCGTTGCCATATAGAACATTATTGTTTATAAATTCCTAGTTCTGTTTAATTTCTGGTAGTAAAGTCTAGGGGATGCTGACTATTAGGATTAAAGCACAAGGAAAAACATTTCCATTCATTTAGCACCTTGAAGCAGATCTAAAAACATGACACAAAGGTGCACCACCATACAAAATATTTAAGTATTTAAGTAAAATGAAGCAATAATTGTTATTCTAACTTACCAGTAAGTAAGCTAAAATAGAGTTACATAAAGGCTGTGGAGTTCTAGGTACTCAAGGCCTTTGAAAAGGAGACCAGAAGTGACTTAATCACTCTTTTACAAGAAAATTTCTCTCCCTGATTTCTGCATTAGCCACTAAACAGTACTGCTTCTTTCCCTACCATTGAACAGAGAAAATTATGTTTAAATGGCGACAGAGTTATATGATTAGGATTTTGATTGGATTTTGTTTGTTCTGCTCTGCTGAGCCTCATATAAATCTCAGCAAGTCACTAGATGGCACCAAAAGTAGTTAATTTTTAGATACTGTAATAAAGCAAAACTGGAGGAGCCTCTGCAAAGGCACTGTTGGAGAAGAGCGATAATCTACGCCAGATAGTTGGGCAGTGGATCTTCTGCCTAAATTTCATGCTGTAACTTTGCACAGAACAAAGCAAATACATTTCAGACATGTATGTAAATCCCATGACTTTTTTAACCAGGAAGTTAAGTGGCTTTGCTGAATCGAGACACAAATGATTTCAAACAAATCTCGCTCAAAACCAGCGCTTACTGAAAAGAGTAACAAAACACACTGGGTGAAATCTTGGCCCCGTTGATGAGAGGTTTGAACCTTGAAAAAGGATTTCACTCTCTGATCTTGCTGCACTGGTTTAAAGTCTTTGCAAACATACAGCCTGATCTGGCATACTTGGAAATTTTAATCTCAATTTAAATGGTGCAGAACTGGAGATGAGCCATGTGCTTATGAACACAGTAAAACGACAGTGGTGTATCCCTGCTAATCTGTGTCTCGCTTTGCAGCAGTCTGTTGAAATTAAAGCTGATATGTCAGTAGGATCCCAGAGCGACCACTTAATATTCTTCCATAATTCATAACATCAAAAATATTTCCCCTTGTGAGGAAAGCTGCTTTGCTCAACCATTTTCATTAGGCACGTGAGAGCATCAACACATACAACAGCTTTCCAGGGAAAAGCCTGTTTGGCATATTGCCTTTCAGGATTCTGGTGTTGAAGTAACTACTGTCAATTGCCAAAACATCACAAAGATCCACAGAGCACGATATCATTGCCAGCAATGAGGAAAGCAGATGCATCTATAACTAATTAACCTCACAGCAACCATGTAGGAATGGAACAGATTCTGACCGACACATCGTAATGTTCCTGTAAAGGCTCAAAAGTCCCTTTAAATTGGATATTAAAAGAAGGTACTTAAAATGTACCTTAAACTCTAGAGATTGAGAAAGGTTACAGTTATTCTCCAAACAAATCTTATGATCACTTTCATATTTTTAAGGCTATTATGAGCAAGGGTTTTAATGACAACCTCAGTGTTCATCAGAAAATTCCAGGAGCATATTGGAAAGGTCAAACTGAGATTTAAACATTAGAGCGAATGCTAATGGTACAGAAATAGACTTTTTAAGGACTGTTAGTGTTACAATATCACAGCATTTTTACAAGCAGTTGTCCAGATGGGATTGTAAAAGGTAAGTAAGTGCTTGAAGTAACAAAGTTCATGGAAAAGGATAAATCATTTATTTGATTCCACACAAATAATGCCAGTAGGATTTTTACAGACAGTATCTGATTTGAGGGAAGAATAGCTGTCATTCACAGACCTTTTATAAATAAATATGATTGCCTGCTGCATACTGATAGAAAGTTTCTGATGGTTCCCAATTAAGAAGTGAGAAGAGAAAATGGGCCCTAAAGGTATTTACAGATAATTAATTGTTCGAAACAGGAAAGTACAATATTTTCTGTTTGTTTGTTTGTTTGTTTAATTTCAGCTTCTCTCAAAGTCAAAAGGCTTGGATTGGAAAAAAATGTTGAGGCTCCATGATGTGCAAACCAAGCTAGGAGTTAGCCTAGAGGAAATGCTGACCATTGTCGAGGAGGTATTACATCCTGAGCCTTACAGCACAGAGGAAATTTGTAAATGCCTGGGAATTAGCCTGGAGGAGCTCCACTCTCAGATCCTTAGTCAAAACATTCAAGATGGTAAGCATATATGAAATGGTGGGCTTTACTGTACAATGTTTGTATTATATAAAAAGGTTATGCATTAATAAGTAGTGCAGGTGGAAGTCTTGCCAGAATACTCACCCAGAATCTTGGTTAGCAACTGAAAGAATTGATATCATCATCAACTGATATTTTCATTCTAATTTGTGACTGAAAAAATAGAGCAAAAATTTGATTTTGATTGAACTGTTTCTAAAATTATGGAAATAGCAGATCCCTTAGTATTTTAGATTAGCCTGTGCTGTTTGAGTCATTTCTAAATAACCCAGATTGTTTTCAAGGGAAAAGTCTAAACTAGGCTTCCTTTTTAGGCAGTAAGTACAACAAAACTGAACATTTTGGATGATTGCAGAGTCATTAAAATGAAGCCTGTTTGCTCTCATTTAACTGGTGTTAAAGACCAGCATAGATGGGCTTGTGCTTCTGTTTTTGGACTGATAAATTCCTAAAAATGCACTGGGCAGCAAATCATCTGGGTCTCTCCTGAGAAAGAAGTTTCTGTCACTATCAATATTTCTTTTTCTTTTAGGAAAATGTTGGTGGAGGTGAACAATTTACTCTTTAAAGTATTTCCCTTGTATTATTGTTTATGATTATACCATACAGTCATGAGCATTGTCACACATGGAATGGATCCTGGAAAGGTCACTAATAATAATGACTAATAAAGAATTTATTAAATAATTCATTTGCATTCATAACAGGTTTCCAATTGAGATCAGAATCTTTCTTTAAGAACTACACAAAATCCTTCTTCCTTTTTTCCATTCTGTAGCCTTAATAGCTCTATTTTTTTGTAGCTGACTTATATCCTTGCCAGTCCTTGCCAAGACTGCTTTCAGGAATGTATACATTTGATGTATATAAATCCATAATACAGCTATCTATACTGACACATATTTAAATAATCCATCTATCTAGACTGACTGTAAGTTTTATATGTTGACCAAGGACCAGGTCCTGAATCTATAACCTGTTTTGCACCCCAGTGGTATCAGGCAGTATGAAACTTTTACTGCCAGAGGGTACCAGGATGGACTAGGATATCTTAATCTAGCTCTTTATCTCCATAGAAAGAGTTTTGATAACTCTGTGCTGTCTGTACACGAGGAATATACTGAACCAGGTACCTGCACTCTGCAACATTGTCATGGGAAACTCCAAGGTTGTAAATCTCTTACGCTGTCCCCGTACTCTCCCCTTCACGAAGCAATACAAGACTATTAACTTACAGCTGTTTATACTCCTTATACCTGCTTTGTAAAACAAAATTCTACAGTTCCGTAGAATCGAGTTGTTTATACAGGTTATCTTGATTTTTTTCAAAAAACAAAGTCTGGATAAAAAATTGAGACATAAAAGCTATAGAAGAAACTCAAAGGAAATTTTATACTGTAGCTCTGAATACCATTTGCAGATGTTTGCTGAACAGAATCTCTTAAACTTGCATGACCACGATTTCATTTGATAAGACCAATTAAAAAGGGTTATGCTGAAAGCGTCTTTGCATGTACAATATAAAATTAAATAACAGATTTCTGTAAAACATATGCAAAGAAGAAACAAGACAGACACAGAAAGAAAGAATCTAAATCCAGAGTTTGTTTTTTTTACACAGTACATGGATTACGTGTTACACTGGCTTTGGAAAAGCGCAGGCTGTTTGATTAAAATACTTTTCTTATTTCCCCTCTGCTTTCCCACTCTTATTTTAATGACAATGCCTGGCTTCTTCATGTGAGAGAAAACATACCATCCAATCAGTAACCTCTGCAGAGAATTTCAGCGTTGTTGAACTTCTTTGTTCAACGTGAAGAACAAACCATAACATTTAGGATATCTTTCTTTCTTTGTATACATTCTATCAACTTTTTTGATAAAATATTATAATGTTAAGGGTAAATTATTTACATGCAAATTTCCATTTATATAATTTATTGCATTCTGAGTTTTTTCTGTGGCTGAATAGATATTGTCAGTAGTTTTAATTTTTTCTATTATTCAAAGCCCAGTTACATTATCTGGGCTTTGAATAATATCTAGTTATCATTACAAATACTGTTTTTTACTGGCATTGTACCTCATGTTTAAGTATTATTTTAGCCTTAAGTCCAGCTTTCCCTCCGCTACTTCTTCAGTGACAGCAACAAAGTTTTATCAGGATATAATGATGACCAGAGAAAAACTCTGTATCTCAAAGGAAAATGGTATGGACAGGCTTTGGGCAAGTCCCAGGCCAGGTCTGGAAGCACACAGCAACTTTGCATCCCTTTTATAGGCAAGTACTCTAAGATTTCTGCAGTTCCCCACTGTACAGCCCACTTGTTCCCCACGTTTGGAGAAGCACAGAGGGTTTATAAAGCCTCTCTAAACTTCTTACAGTTGTTCCTTGGCCAACTCAAAATCCCGAGTTTAAAGCTCCCTTGCAAATGTTTACACATGGATTGCACTTGTGGCTTCTGAACATCTCTAGAAAAATAATATTTATTACTTTTTAAGGTGCACTGTGCCATAACTTTGGCTTGGACTTGAGTGCTTCACAGAACTTGTAGTGTGTGGTGATTGTGGGACATTAAGTATTTATAAGCTTCACCACAAAAGGATATTTTCCTGTAAAACAGTGTATTCCTTTAACCATGAAATGTTTTTTTTCTTCTTAAATGAGGTATTTTCAAACTCATTTTTCCTTTTTATGTATAAAATTGCAGTCTAATTTTGACATTTAAACCCGGGAATGAAATCGCCATTGGAGGAGCAGGCATCCATTTGCTATGCGGATTTGGCTGTTTAACTCCAGTTTGTCCCCTGGAAAGAGAATTCTAAGTCTGTGCTGCAGCTCAATGAGTGGTGCTTGAATAGCCTTTCATGGGTATTGATGGTGATCTCAGTGCAGAACAGTTTCCACGTTCCCTGCACAGACAGGTGTAGGTGAAGGGGGTCCCGGGTGCTCTGTGAGGCAGCTCTGTCTGTGCACCAGGAGATGTCCTACATGAACAGAAGTTACCTCCAAACTGGCAGACCTAAGAGCACTTCCCAGCTTAAGGGTCCAGGTGCCTACTTCAGCCTTGGCCTGATCCATATCATGGAAAGATTTGGGAACATACCATTCCCTTCCACAAAAACAGAGAGGTGGCTGCTCCAGGCCAATCCCATACCCGGAGGATTCAGGTCTTTGGGGTGTGCCACAGGTGAGGTACAGGCACTGAATAGTCAACAAGGTTAGTTGCAAAAGCCTTGTTAAAGCTTTTCATCCAGCTCTGGATGAAAAATCACTTCAAACCAGTGATTATCATAATCTTGAAACAGGTGTCTGCTAAATGGGTCACTGAATCCAGTGCTGACTCGTCCCCTGGTTTATTTTCAGAAAACCAGATTGCAAACAGTTACTTGAGCAGTCCCAGCAGAGTCCCCCCACTTCAAGTAGGGGGTTCACAATCTGGCTCAAATTAAATCCATCTGGCAGCATTTTCTTATATACATTCTGAGCCAGAAACCTTCACCCTCATCATGTTCAATCAGCAGGATGTCTAACAGAGAAGGGTCCTATTCCATGGGAGGAGTGGTGGGAGAAACTGTCCCCTACATGATTTTGCATCGGTGGGTTTTTCCGGTTGTAAATCTCTAACAGTCCCATCAGCCATGTGCAGCTCATTAATCTACAGTGAAACGTATCTTAGGAAGCTGCCAAAGCAACTAGAAAAAAAATATATAGCCTGAAGAGGTTGGTCTTTAGCTAAAGGTCAGACAGAATTGTACAGGAAGCCTCTAAAGAAAGGAATCTGCTGAAGTTGAAGTTGTAACAAATAATATGAATTGCTGAGAAGCCACAAGGTTTACTTATAAAGAAAAAAAAAAATCCCTGTAGATGGAGTGGACAGGTTTGCACAGTTTTTGTAAAGCTAAAATTAAAAATATGACCATACAGTTGAAAATCCACAGTAAACATTTCTGTTATATTTAGTTAACCCACAATTATTTGGGACAAATAGCCCAGATTTTTGTTTATTTAGATATTTTATAGGGATTTTGGATAAACTTTCATTAATGTTATTCTGCTGGGTCTTAGGAACTTGGAAGGTTCTTGCTGCAGTGTGAGCTATTGGTGCCCTGAAAAATGGCACTTTTCTTTTAAGGGCATTTGGTGGTTTGTAAGGAAGTTGAATCTATTTGGGTGACATGACAGAAATCCCCTGCAAAGGAGCAAACCTGAGGTTCAGAGAACTTGTAAATAAGTTGAAATGGGAGAAACCAGGCCTTTTATTATAGTTTGCTGGATTAGGAAAGTATATTTACATTTTCAGTTTTATTACATAATTTCCAGACATTGTAATTGATTTAAGAATCCACATGCTTTTAAGAATTTGCTCTTTTGCTCTCCTTTGAGCACCACAGAGGGTGAGACCATATAACCCAGTCCTGTGCAACACTGCAGGGGTTTCTTTGAGGGCTTCAGCTTTTCCTCTTTCAGAGCACTCCAGCCCTAGCTCAGATATAAACTAAGCAGGAGTGGGCCCTCTGGTTTTGTTTCTTTTAACAGTGGCAGAGTATGACTTAAGAAATCAGTCCTTTGTAATTGTCAAAAAATGTGACCCCGTGAAGCACACAGATTCTGATGAGTTTCTTCTAAAATCACAGCCTCCATAGTTCTCTGACATGTCCTATTAATTCAGACTTTATGAGGAGCTAATACACTGGCTGCAATATGGCAAGGAGATTCCAATATAGATGCAATTTTTGGAAACACCGTGTGTGCTCTGCTATCTTCCATTAGATAGAGATGGCTGGGTGGACTACCCATCCAAACAGAAGAGACAGAAGAGAATTTCTGTATTGTCAGAGGCATTTGGTGTTGAAAGCTCAAAATACACGAATCATTTCATTACTTTAGAATAAGATTTAAAGAGTACAGAGGTGTTTGCTGCCCTGAAGATAATTTTGTCTGAAAAGTACACTGTCAGAGAGGAAAAGCAAGCTATAAAAATTTTTTTTAAACACAAACATGATTATTTTGAAATAAAATGCTGCCTATAACTGACCAACAGGCAACGTAAGGATCCCAGCCTTTAACCACTACTAACTGGGTAAATGTCCACAAAGGAGTCTGCGAAGAACAGCCAGCCACTCTTTCTCAGCCTGGAGCTGTCTGGAAGGGCAGTGTTCCCATGGAGAGGGAGCAGTGTCAAGGTAGCACATTCCCCCCTGCCCTGGGAGGCTCTCCTGGGAGCCGGCGCTGTCGAGGACACGGCTCAGGCCTGGCCGGCCGCCAGGAGCCCAAGCGCCCATCCCGGTTGCCAATTCCTAACGTGATGAGCACAACACAACCCCAGAGATTTTGAAGGTAATCTGGCCAGTAGAGCATTGCTCTACCAAAGGGTGGTCTCCGAATCAATCACAGCCTTTGGCAAGTCTGTTGCCTGACAATTGAAACCAGACATGTTTTCAGTTCATTCTTTGGGTTACTACTGTTCAATGGTGATTTACAAGAGAGTGTGAGCTATGGCAATCTCTCACGCAACTTTAGATATTCCCTAAACGAATGCACATTTAGAAAGCTCCTTGCTCTAAAACAATGGCTTATAAGAAAAGAATATTTAAAGAGAAACCATCCTTAAAAATAGGCCAAGCTGCCTTTCTTCAACATTCAAAAATACCAAGGCACCACTCTGCAAAACACAGTGCAACTAACTCCAGCAGCAATAAAATCGGAAACCAAAATATGCTCTTCCTGTGTGATACTCTCAAGTCCATGTTTCTGGGGGGCACTAAATTTTCTCATTTCTGTCCTAGTTTGAAATGCATTCAGAAGTCTTGTTCAAAACACAAGCAGCACAGGGTTTCTCAGTAGCAGACTGTATTGAATTACAAAATAAATAGGAGCAGAAGCAATATCAGCAGTAGCAGGAGACTGCTATGTTCAGTGTTTCTCTCTCATTTTAGACTACTTGTGTCTTTCTCAGCACTGTATTTTTAGCATTTATAGTTGTGAAATCCTCTGGAGAAATAAAAAAGGGATTATAGAGGTGCTGATGAAGTTTTAGTCTGTAAGGGTTGCAGCCTGGAGTGTACATATGAGAAACTTCATACTGGACATAATTTTATTTCCAGTCTTTTAAAGAAGATTTCTACACATACTTGCAAACGTAGATTGCTGAAAGTGTCAGAAGTGGTTCCAGAAGTTTGCCGTCTCCACAGAACAGCCAAGTAGGAACTCCATGTGTCTGGGTTAGACAGCAAGTTCTATTTTAAATACAGGGCTTGTCTCTCTTCTCCTTTTACCTCTATTTGAGTGTTTCATCAGCCATTTTTGAAAGTAAGAGAGACCAGGAGCTGAAATGAGGAGAGAAACCTCGCTCTAAAGGAGAATTTACATGTAGAAAGAAAACGAGGGATGTTCTGAGGTGCTCTAAGAAAGGTGTGCTATGATGAAACAGTAGGTGCTCCACACAGAGGTTAAAGTCCACTTATTTAATATTTACCACCCAAACAGCTCAAGCAAACCAATTTAATCATAAATTAAATTATGTCATGCATGCTTTTGGTGAACAATACTTCCTTAATAGTAGCCATGGTATTAAAGCAAACAGAACTATATTGGGAGAGGAAAACAATGAACTACAGCATGAGCTTGGGAAAGGCAGATCAATTCTCAGATATTAGCTGCAAACCAAACCCTCCTGTAAATATGAGTGGCTTGCAGAGCCTTTAGCCAAAGCCATCTCCTTCCTTTTTATGCCCCATTATTCAGGCTTGATGAAGGTCTCTACCCTGATGGCCGCACAGGTTTGGGCACCCCCCAGCCCTTCCCAGAGGAATGGCTTTTTCATGGCCCAACAGAAAAATTTTAGCCAAAATCCTTGCACTAGTCTTTGATCTTAGTAGGTCAGTACCAAGCAGTACCTGTCTGGGCTTGACATCTCATCCACACAGGCAACACTAACACTCTGGCAAGTAACATACACCAAAAATAAACCCTGAAAACCAAAGTGAAAGCATCTGTGCTCTTCGCTGTACCTTTAATCCAGTATTATTTACAGTCAGGGTAAGCCTGTATCATTGGGAAAATATTTGAAAGGGCTCTGTTACCTGTGCATCACAAAATAGGGAAAGAGCATTTGTGTTACTGTTTAAAAAAAAAAAAGTGTGTTGTGGTTTTTGTGGTGTTTTTCTCTCAAGCAAAGGTCTGTCCACACAGTTCCATAATGCTGCAGATTTGGCCTGGAGCAGCCACACACCAGGCCCTGGGCCAGCAGGTGCTGGCTGACAGCTGCCTGCAGGGCACAGGGGACCCTCCAGGTGTTCTCCTGCCTCCTTTCTGCTGGGATTTGAAAACCTGAAAGCTGTAGATTAATGCCCTAAGGCTGTCGCTGCCAACCCTCGAACTTGTGCCTTGCTTCTGCGAACACTGTTTTTATTAGGGCTTTTAAAGAAGATGTGAGCTTTTGAAGAAGACTTTTAGCCTAGAAAGTTCTAACACAAAATACGAATTACTAAAAAACACAATTCTATGTTTTTGCATGTTCCTTTTGTAGTGGATAGTAACACAGTTTTCCTTTTGTTTAGTCTCCACCTTTAAGTTATACCAGCGTGCAAAGCACGTGTACAGTGAAGCTGCCAGAGTGCTGGAATTTCAGAAGATATGCAGCAAAGCACCTGCCAATGCACTCCAGCTGCTGGGAGAATTAATGAACCAGAGCCATATCAGCTGCAGGGAGATGTACGAGTGCAGCTGTCCCGAACTGGATCGGCTGGTCGACATCTGCCTGTAAGTTCTGACCACAAGGAAGAGGAATCGTCTGTTGAGAATACTGTTTGAATTGATGAGAAAATATGACATGGTTGGCTATTGCAATCTTAAAATGAAAGTATTCTTGTCTCTTATTACAAAATTAATCTCCTGCAGGGACATTACATGGTCAATTGTTTCCCTGCTGACATCTGGGTAATAGTTTCAGATGAAAGCTTCAGTTTATGGCTTTATTACAGATTTTGCTTTTGGACTGACTCATCGTCACAAGTGTTACGTTAGACTCTTAGCTATTCCTTTTTAAGTTGTAGAAGAAGTCATAACTCATTTTCTTAAAACATTATTTTACTTGTTCTATTTGAACTCTTTTACTTCTTCTGTATTTCTTAGAGTTACAGCATCATAGAATGGTTTGGGTTGGAAGGGATCTTAAAGATTATCTAGTTCCAACCCCCTGCCACAGGCAGGGACACCTTTCATTAGACCCATTGAACACTTCCAGGGATGGGACATCCACAACTTCTCTGGGCAACCTGTGCCAGTGTCTCACCACTCTCACAGAAAAGAATTTCTTTCCAATATCTAATCTAAATCTGCCCTCTTTTTGTTTCTTAACTATTTCAGTACTGCCACCAAGGGAGTGGCAGGGCATAAGCAAGCTGTTCTACAATCTTAGGTTGCCTTGAAATCATAATGAAATGTAGTGAAATGCTATTTGCATTTTTTTTAATTAAAAATATATTGTCTAGCGTATCAGATAGGTTGGACAGCATTTCACTATTCAAAAGATGTGTGTTAACTGTTACAAGAGCTGACACTCTGCTTCTCTCTGCACTGCGTCTGAGCTTTCCACATATTATTTACTCTCCATCTTTGCTCTAACATCATTCTTTTAGGTTGGATCCCTTCCTCAGTTTGGCCATGATGAAACAAGCCCTCTCAACTCCAAAGCACGTTCCCTGAGTGTCATTTTGTCCCTTCTCTTCTCCCCCACACAGGTTGCTGTGGCAGCAGGCTGTTGTTTTCATGACTCTGCTGCAGGGGAGGATCAGATGTGGTACAACCATGTATCAATACAGAAAGTAAAAACAAGTACTTAAGTACTCACATTCTACACAGTATTTCATCCCTACCACAAGGTCAGCATGAAACAATGTACACATTTCAGTCCCTCCTAATTTTCATTTTTCTGGTACATTTATAATCATGAGACAGACATCTTATGCTGACTTTGATCTAAATTCAGTGCCTAGAGAAGGAATTCAGTGGTTGGTGATCATTCTAACAGTGACTTGAGGGAATAGACAGTTGCCCACCTGAGTGATCCCACCACTACTCCATTCCTGCCTCTGCCCCAGCCACCCTGTCCCTGCTGCTTCCTGCATTCCCATCATATCTCCTGGTGATGTCACCTTCATATTCTGCTCCTCTGTTATTGTTCCTACTTCTCCTTGGAGAAGGATCTGCTTAGTTTGGGAAACTCTACCCTAAGCCAGAGCATTACTGCCTTCCCAGAAGGGAAATGCAGGGTGACATAAGTGTTTGCAGGCCTCATGTCAAGAAATGTTGTTTCACTGTCTTTTAGAGGCAAATATCCCATCCTTTCTCTACATCTTCCAGTTCTGAGGAAAATAAACCGTTTCAATTTGAAGCTAGAACCCCCTCCCCCCAAAAATTAATACCACCTATAAATGAAGATTACAGAAATGTGTCTTTACCAGCAACTGGCTTTTTCTTTTATTAACTAAGTAATTCATCTAGCTTAGAATGAAAATATGAATTTTAAAACTATGCAATTTACCATATGCTTTTTTACTTCTATACTCATATGGATTTTTTAAGTTGCAATACTCATTTTCCAGGTTTATAAATCAATAGAGTACAATACAGATGATTATTTAGGTTAGTTTGATTTCCTTTGCAGACGTGATGGAATGGCCTCTGAGGCAGAAAGCTACGAACTTAAAAATTGAACAGAAGGCTTCTGGACATTGAGAGATTACTTTGTATATGGGCTACACATGCTGTTTTGTGATAAAACACAGAGAAGCCTGATAGCCATTGGACAGACTGATAGTAATTGAGCAGAACAATTCTTGGTCCTTCTCGTGGGCTGTGTTCAGTTTATTGTGTCACACGGTGATCACATAACACAATAAGCTGTGACAGTCACTCAGCGGGGCAATTCCACCAGGGTTATCCCAGCTGCTCAAAGGGAACTGCTGATCCATGTGTGAGAAGGGACAACTATCTCCAGAATCAGCTGAAGACAGAAACTGTGCTCAAAAATCTTGGGTAACAAAGTCTTGATCCCATGCAAGGCGTCGGCACTGCCTGTTCTGAGACATCTCTGACAGGGGAAGAGCCTTCAAACTTAACATCTGCATTGTTTTTAGGTACAGTAACTACCCAGTGCTGAGAACTCATCAGTAGCACCCAGTGACTGCTGAGCCATTTTAAGTGTCCTCACTTGGATGCCCACCTTGGATCCTTCTGAACGGGCCTGTTCTCAGAAATGCTGGGAGAAGACTGTCCTGTCCCACGCAGGGGAAAACAGGCCAGGCATAAACTGGCAAGGTGTGCCCTGCACAGGGTTACCTGAGCTACACTGCAGTGACCCAGCAGGGCTGGCAGGGACAGCCTGGGTCAGTGCAAAGCTCAGCATGGGCATGGAAACTGTTTCCCATTTCTGCTGAGCTCTGTGCTTTCATGGCGAGACAGCTGCTGCTCCAGCCAGCCTGGGCATGGAGGTAGCACACACACAGCCACAGAACCCAAAGGAAAGGAGCAGTTATGATTTTTCTAAATTAAATTAAACTTCCAATTCCAGGGAGCAAAATATAAATAGTAAAGGAAAAAAGTGATGTGTGTGCCCTCATTACATCAGATTTCTAATTTACCAGCAGAAGAGCCCACAGCAGTATGATGGGCAGAGCTAAGCAGCACAGTGGAGTGTCATTTATGTGAAATGTTGTCTGATTGGTATATTAAAATTATTTAATCTGGGTTTTTTTATTATAGTCTTTGAACAGAAACAAGGAAATTGTTTGTTCGTTATTCTTTACAGTTTTGTCCCATCAAGAGTATTTCCTAAAAACTGTATCTTTCTTCTCTAGAAGTTTAATATTAAATCTTTTTCTGATTCAGTAATTAGATTTTTAAAAGTGTATAGCTATTCCAGATGAATGCAGCTTAAGCCAGCACTCAATTTTTTGGAAAAAAGTCTTAACTTTTCTCAAGTTGTACATTAAAGAAGCTAAGGGACATAAAATCACTAGTCACTCTAGGAAAACTTGGCTGTTGTGATTACAGAAATGGCCAGGAACTACATAAATTACATTCTTTACTTACGATGATATACAGCTGCCCTGTAGCTTTAAAAAGCTTTTCCAAAAATACATTCCACAGAATTGCCTGAGTCTACTGCTGCTCTCTCCTTACAAGGTTTAAACTGTGAAGAATAATCTGCATATCCAGATGTTTTCTGTTTTGCCTAGATCTTTATGTTTTACTGCACAACCTCTGCCAAGAAAGAAAGGGATCCATACTTGCTGTGGTTTGTAGTGCTGAAAACTGTAACCACTAGTTGGTCAGGTTTTTCTTTTCGTTTTGCAAAGACAGAAGACTTGTACTTTTCTCTAACCTACCTCATGCTCTTAATAGCTGTTTTACCTGTTAGCCTTTTAAAGTAGGTAACACAGCAGATTTACCAAACAATTAAGGGACAAAAAATTGGATGTGAGCTCATGAATATGTTAGGTCCTCTTGGAAATCTCTCTGAGTCCTTAGTGTTGCCCATAACTTTCTTTCGTTCTCTTATTCTCCATCTTCTGTTGCTAAAAATCCTGATAATTCTTGTGTTCCCAGCCATGCCCACTGCCTGACAGACAGCTGAATCCTCTCGGATCACTTTTAAAGGATACAGTTTGTACATTACACCCAAGTGCATTATGGTGGCCAAGACAATTCTGTGTTTTATCAAGACTCTTACCATCACCAAAGATGATTTCTTAAACCTGCAAAGCCTGCAGTCATGGCACAACTTGAAAATTCAACAAAAAGTTGTAGCCCTTTCACAAGGCCAGAAAGGCTTAAAGATGGTATTCAAATGCAAACTAAGCTACAAAGCAAAATAAGTATAATCCTCTCCATTTATATATTTAAATCTCATCATCTCATCTATGCTTTCTGAAAAACTAGTTCATAATTTTGAGTATTTCAAATTTTCACTTCTTAACAGCACAATTATTTTTAAAATTAACTACTGCAATGTCTTTCCTATCATTTCCATATACCAAACTATGGGACTTCCACTTTTCTTCTTCTTCTTTTATTCTTCTCTCCTTTGCTGCAGTACTCATGTTTTTACTCTCACTCACACCCTCTTTTTATCCAGTGAAAACTGGAAAAAGATATATAAACTCTTGAGGAAGCAAAGGCCAGAACGTGGGACTGGGAGCTGAGTGCCCCCAGCACGGGGCTCCAGATACTCCATTACCTCTCCCAGTATTCCTTGTCCTGGCGCTGCAGCACAGCCCAGGCAGTGCACAGGGTACTTCCCACACATGAAGTCCCAGGGCCCAGTGCCTGGGAGAGCTCCCCATCCACAGAATCGTCTGCTCAGACTCCTCTTCCAAAACCCGTGATTTGGATGCCAGTGCACCAGAAGAGAGTGTCTGGCCAGAAATGCCACTGTACCAGAGGGGCCTGGCTCGGCACTGAACTGATTAGGACTCGAACAAGATGGTTTCAGACCTGTCCCAAAGACACCTTTCTCGTGTTGGATCTAAATACCCACCAGACACCACATCTCTTGCAGAGCAGAATTAGGTGCTCACTTCTGAATTCCTGTAATATAAGGTACCCAGGTTTCAGATGTTACAGCACTGCCCATCAAGTTCCTCAGCAGAAAACCCCAAGTGTCTGATCATATCACCACATTTGGCACTTAAGCCGCAGTATTTTGAAACACAGTGACTTCAGCTCTGCAACAGGCATATTTTCTGTCTACATTATGCTTTATTTCAACTAAGTATTTTAAAATGACTCAGTAAAAATGAGGCATGAGCATGACCACAGAGAATTACGAAATCAATAAAAGGTTCAGAACAATTCTGAAGGGATTTCAGTTGCCTACCAAAATAAAAGCCAGACACCATCAGAAATGCAAAGTTCTGACTGAGGTAACAGACCAAATGAGTACAGACAGTTGATTTAGCAGACTCTGAAAAGTGGATTGGGCCTTATGAAGTTGATGGGAATTACCTTATTGATTGCAACTGAGACTGGATTGGATCCTGCTCGTTTTAGGAGGTTGCTCCATGGACTAAAAACTACTAAATTGCATCAGAGAATGAGTGGCTTACAGGAATAACAATAAGTAAAATAGAACACCAACAGGAAATGCAGAATGAACATAAAATCGAGTCAATATGAAGGGTGGCACCACACAGACACACTGAAGAAAGTGTTTCTGTTCAAGAGTTGTGTGTTTAGAATCAAACACATATGTAAGTACTTGCTTGAAATATGACCTAAACCTCTACTAACCCAGCACTACACCAGATTCATTTAACATAAAATACACACATGAAAAATTACAACAGCTCCGAATGAGCTGTCCTTTTCCAACACTGCTCACATGACGCTGCCTCTCCCTCTGACACACTCTGGGGCTGATAAATCTCTCCATGCCTGGCTCTTGGAAACACATCAAAAGTATTTGTTTGCAAATCAGATTAGATCTCCCACGAGAATGAGATTTCAGATGAGTTTTCTAAATCTGCCTGGTTCTGTTCTGACTAGGTTAGAAAAGCCCCAAAGACATTTATTACATGGTATTTTCCTACTTTTTCTGAATCTAAGTAAAGATCAGGACCACAGGTAAGCAAACTAATGAAAATAATTCTACTAAATTCTAATGGGATGGCATCTGAATCTTGCAGTGTAATGGCATGGGATTTGCTGTAGGACATTTCTAGCAGGCCAGTATCTTGAGGCTGGGAATGGTTTATATTTTGGATGTCATTATTTGTCATTGTTCTTTCTATTCACCCTCCTCATTAAGAGCATTTTTTTCTTTTGGGACGAAGTTCTTACTTTACCTCTACTGCTGGCAGTCTCTTAAGTTCATGAGGTTTCCCTAAAGAGAGATTCCTGACTCTGTCCATTCAGCAGAAACAGATGTTTAGGTGAGTTTATTTACACAGAGTGCAGTGACTCTGTATGGCTTTTTGAGTGTTTCTGAATTCTCCTTTTCTTGACTGCCATGCTCAGCAGTCCTGCAGAAGCCTGTGAATCTTCAGCATGTTTTAGATCTGTCCTGGAAGAATAGAGCTATTTGTCTTTGCCACATTAGAAAATGGCTTGCATGCCTACATCCTGTGCAATTAGTTTATGAACCCTCTTTTGTTATTTTTGTCATGTATTCCTGTTTTCACTTCTGATGTCTTATGAATGTTGCTAACACAATTCCTTTCTTCTCCTGCTTTCTTCATCTCAGCTGCGCTGTGATCCTTAAAACAGCTGATGCTGGAGCATTACAAAACAGGGGGACTTTTGGAACTGACAGAAATTACTATTTTGCAGTTTAAGGCGTCAGCACTTTTTTTTTTTGGACCACAATGGTAACTGCAAATTGCTGTAGTGTTGCATACAACCAAGTGAACCTCAGAAAAATCAGATGACATGAATGCTCAAAACACATCTTAGTTTTCTATATGCACTTTATATATGACAAAGCACCCCTTTTTGGTTTATTTTACATGATTTTTCTTGGTTTTTTTTTTTTTTAGGCAATTCGGGGCCATCGGGTCACGTCTGACTGGAGCTGGATGGGGTGGCTGCACTGTGTCAATGGTGCCTACTGACAAGCTGAGCATGTTCCTAAAAAATGTAAAAAAATCTTATTACCAAACGGATGGCCAAAGGTTAGCAGGGGAGAATAACAGTCTGTTTGCTACCAAACCTGGAAGAGGAGCTTTGGTTTTTGTTGAGGCCTAAAGAACGTAAAAATTTTAAAGAAACTATGTGGAGCATTTGGAACTGGCAGTACTTCCCATGCCACAGTAAATGAATGCCTTTTCTGGTTTGTATTGTAATGAGCAGTTGCTATTATCAAAATGTATTTCTGAAGAACTAATTAAAAGAAAACTCTTTGATTATAAAAGTCTTATTTTCTTCCATACTAAATATATATTTCAGTATAAACGTTGATTTACTAAAATGTATTGACAGAGAAAACTGAAATTGAAATAAAGATGATACTGTGTTACAGTGGCTCTCTCTTCCCTGTACTCCATTAAACAGAGGCTGTGGAGCAATGAGCTGTCTCAGTACTGGGAGGGACCTTGCAGGGTTAGCAGGGCTGTTCAGTGCTTTTCCTCTCAAGTGCTGGACATTGTTTTGTTTAGAGTGTTTTGTAAAAAAGGAAGATTAAACTGAAGCATTCAAAAAATTGGAAGGACCTTGCTAAGCATTAGAAGTTTTATAGTCTCCACAAATAAGATAATCACTGTTGTCATTAATGCTAATATTGGAGGAGCACCTGCAGGCCAAATCAAACATTAGGAATACATTATGTTAAGCAGGAAAACTTCTTCTAGTGATAGAATGTATATTTGTGCAAGATGACTTGGTATGAAAGTTTCAACAACAATGTATATTATCTGTGAGTTGTACAATATGACAACCTGTTCCCCCTATGAGAATGAACAAATAATGAAGCAATGTTGGATTTTGAAGTATCCAAATAACATACTCTAGTGGCTGAATCCCAGCTCTGCTTCTAATATGGTAGAACATTTGCATTTTATGCAAAACTGTTAAAAAGGACTAAATATAATCCATTGACCATGTAAACAAGCAATTAAAATTTATAAGGAACAATTAATGAGATAATTCACTTAGCTGTACTAAGGGAATCGGTAGGAGCAAGAGAAAATGTCGCTGACATTACTGATAAATTCCGACCTCACTTACACCCCTCACCATCCCCAGGCTGTGACTGCTCTGACAGGACAGGCCACAGTAACTTGCTTCCTCAGGAGGAGAAATTACTGTGATTGCAGAAAGGTCCTGTACATCAGGAGTCCCCAGAGATATTCTAACCCTGCTTCCAAGGGGAAACTTAGGTTCCTGTGCCCTCTCTCTTGCATAAACTTCCACTTCTCTGCTCTCTACAAAGAAAACCAAAGGCAAGGTTTGCTCATGTCACAGCCCTTGCAGCCATAAAAGACACAGCAAGAGCTGGCCCTGTGCACATTTTTGTGATGCTAAGCACAAGTTGATGTCCAGAAGTCTGCATCAAATTAGAGATCTCTCAGAAAAGATTTTCTGTACATTACCCTTGCTAATTCAGGCCAAACCCAAATTCTCAGAGGCTCCTGATTCTGTGAGAGGACTCTGCCAAATCTGAACACAGCAGATGAACAACAGCCAGTGCAAACCACCAGATCTTTTCAGGAACCTCAGAGGGGACACGTCTTGGTAATACCATCACTAGAGAAGATTTCTGGTTTCTGACAATCAGGAGAAGTGGAACAGAGTGCTTAGGTCAAGTAAATCAAGCCCTCTAAGAGAGGAGAAGGAGAGGAGAGGAGAGGAGAGGAGAAGGGTCTGGGCACAATGGGGAGAGATGAAAAGACTGCCTTTGGAGGGAGGACAGTTAAAAGGATGCATTTGAGAAGGGCAAAGCAAGGGATAATGGAGACAGTTCTGAACAACAGGCAGAATCAGAGAATGGGTTAATCTTAAAACATCTGCTATTACCATCTATGAAAACTGAATAACTTGTAACCCATTTGTAATGTACAGCAGATACACTGTATATTGAAATAAACCTATAAACATAGGACTCAAAAAACTAAACAAGTAAGTATCTTCAAGAATATCTAAGATAACCATAGGGATTTAAAAAAAAATAATGTCTTTGCTTTGTTACCAACTGCCTTATGAAATATAATCCTCAGCTTAATCCAGTGATTCCCATTTATTATCCTGTCATAAAAATGGAGTAGAACACAGTATATACTAGTCCTTTCATTAAGATATTTGCATTGAACTTCAGTTCAGCTGGATTTATGGAAGCACTAATCAGTGTATGAGCAGAATAAGAATATTTTTTTTCTTCCTGAGTTGAGCATGACACACAAAGTCATGGAATTTTCCCAAAAACACACAGGATGCAGTACATTTCAAAATTTTTCTGTCAATGAATCTGATAAATTATATTCTCATAAACAAAGAAAAGGGAAACAGAAAACTGGCACAGTATAAAAGAATAAAACCAAATGTTCTAAACTTCTGATAAATTTCTTTCTTTTTTTTATTGCTCCAATGTCTTTCCCAATAAAGTTTGGACATAACTTTCATTGAAAGACCTACAGTATTCAAACTATACACATAAGAAGGGCACTCAAATGTTTGTATTTACTGACTATATATAGGAAGTAAATGTTTCTCTTTAAACAAACAAAAATAATGATCTCTGGTTTGGGTGGGTTTTGTTGGCTTTTTAAACCTTTGAAGACATGTTTCTACATAATGGTAAAACCAATGGTGAGAGCACGAGAATGGTAAGCAGCAAAGATATTAGTAGAATCTCTAAAAATAAAGAAGATTTTGATGAAAATTTCTGAGCATAAAGCAGCAGCTCATAAGCATATTTCTTAAGCAAGTCTTGCCAGATCTACATTTTTAGTAGTTTTTTCTGACTTCCTTTCAAAAATCTCTTCTATAGCTAAAATAACACTAATTGGGATATCAAATCATGGACTCGTTCAGGTTAGAAAAGGCCTTTAAGATCACTGAGTCCGAGCGTTAACCCAGCACTGCCAAGTCCACCTGAAACCACGTTCCCAGGTGCCACATCTGCACATCTTTTAAATCCCTCCAGAGATGGTAACTCCACTACTTCCCTGGGCAGCCTGTTCCAGTGCTTGGCAAGCCCTTTCATGAAGGAATTTTTCCTAATATCCAATCAACCTTCCCTCCTTCAGCCGCTGATAAGTGATGGGAAGTGGCTCCGTGAGCACTCCCAGCTCCCCCAGTCCCCTTGGGTGGATCCATCCAGACCCAGAGACTTTGAGTGTGTTTAAGTTACGTAGCAGGTCACTGACAGCCTTCCCTTGGATTCTGGGGGCTTCTTTCTGCTCCCTGTCCCTATTCTCCAGCTCAGGGGGCTGAGTACCCACAGAACAGCTGGTCTTGCTATTAATGCCTTCTTTGCCTCAGTCTTTAAGTACCTCAGCCGTTTCCTCAGCCTTTGTCACTATGTTTCCCCCTGCATCCAGTAAAGGTTAGCACGAGCCCTGGTTATCCATGGAGTGTAACTTTATCTTATTTAAATGCCTGACTGTAATTCATTCAATCATGAGTTTAATCTTAGTGTGCAGTAAATGGGTTCTAAACCTTTCCAAAAAGGATCTGGAATGGAGACACTGTTAGACATCTGAGTGCAGCATCATTGCCTGGTGCCATATTAATGCTCTGTATTATCCTAATCCCATTGACATGTATGTCTTCATCACTGTATTTGCTGACTGTGTGTCTTGTACACAGGAACATGCTCATCCTCTAAAACAGAATGAAAGCAATTTTACCATTCACTCGACAGGAGGGGGTCATGGCAGCATATTTGACGTTTGCTGCCTTGGACACAGCACACACACACACATATGGCAACCTAATATATAATAATTACTTACATAACATTTTCGGGAATATTGGTTTCTAGTTAATATGATCTGAATGCCAACTCTTATTTTAGTAACTGCAGTGTACTTAGTCAGTATAATCCTTTTGAAATTCCTCTCCATGTGTCTCTTTAATAACATCTTGATATGTTGGAGCAACTGCTGTGCTACAGTTTCAGTTGAGTGAAAGATTTGTGTTTTCAGCTCACTACGAAGTTTATTTGTGTGCTAAATCCCAATCAGATCTGGTTAAAGATACACCCACAACAATATTCACAAGAACTGTCCTGTTCTAAAAAAGATACCCTGCAAATCATAGCTGTTACGGGCAGGACCGAAGTAGTGTTCCCTGATTCTCGTCATTGTACCCTTGATCAAGACAAAATGAACTCCATAGAAGAACTTGCACTACAAAGGAATAGTAGCATGAAAACCAGACTCTGGTAAGGCTTAGTATCATGACACCCATGAATCATACAGCATATTAAATTATAGTTTAAATGCTAATTTTGAGATGGAAGGCTAGGTATTGATAAGAGAGAGTAGTTCACAATGCAGAAAGGACTAAAATGAGGAACTAAATAATACTAACTGATAATTAATACTGATAATATTAACTGATAATTAACTAATAAAACCAACTCATAATTGCTCCCTGTGATCCAGCCTTGTTTGACAGATTTTCCCAGCTCACAGAGGATTGGCAGAGAAAGCACTGCCAAGCAATATCACCGACACATCTGTCCTCCCTCAGCTCTGCAGTTCAGCAGCTCTTTCATCTAATGCTCTTCTAAGATTCAATATGTCATAAAACAGAGACAAAAGATTAATTCTGTTATTGATCTTATCTCTTCTACTCTGCCCTCTGCTTTAGGACTTGTGTCACAAGTAGTTGAGATTCTGCAGGACACCACAGAGCACAATGTTTTTGCAGGAGACAGGTGACACCGTGCTGGGGTGGATGGTGCCCAACAAGCACCTCTGCAGTCTCTGAGGGCAGAGACTTGCACCACCTGAGGACAAAGCTGTAGCTGTTACACTGAGAACTGCTGCTTCTTGAGCAGACTTCTTCCCCTCAGCTACAATTGTTCACCAGTAAAACCTGGAGATGAACATCTTCTGGAGCCCCTGAAGGCTGCAGATTTGGTCACTGATCTCAGCATAAGGTAGATTTACCCAGCCCACACTGCCAAGCAAACATTTCAATCCGTACAATAACAAAGAGGGAGAGTTTGCACATAAAACTGATGTGCCCAAAATCTCACATATAATTTAAGGCACTCGTACCTTATTCATCATAAGTGTGAGATTCAGTAATGGAAAAAGTGCAGAGGAGTAAAAATTGTTTAAGTGAATCAGATGGGAAGACACTAAAGAGCTTTCAGAATTAATTGATCGATAATGTGTTTGAGAGTGATTTCCAATAGCAGTGCTTCCTGCAGAAACAACAAACTGGATGAGGATTTATACAAAAGCATTTGGTATATTTATTTGGATTTTAAGTCTAATGCATTTTGAGAATTGCTATTGTCTCCTAAGCCTTATTTTGTTGGCCAAAATTACACATTAGTATTAAAAGGAAAA